CTGTTCCATTTGCTAGCTGTGTGGCCTTGGCCAGATGACTTAGCCTCTCTGAGCCACAGTTTCCTTATATGTAAAATGGGAATAATTACCCTTTTCTCCAAGAGTTGTGGGGACAGAGGAGATGAGATAAAGCGTGTAAGAGCCTGGCACCGTGTCGGGCACAGACAAAGGGCTCAGGGAGTGACAGCTGATGCTGTTATTATTCTCTCTGCCATCTGGATTCTGCTCAGCTCCACAGACACCGAGTGTCTGTCGTGTGCAGGGCTTATGCAGCGTGCCAGCGAGGGAGAAAGGAGAAAAGATCACGCACCCACCCCTCTCCTCCAGGAACTCAGTCTTGCATGGTCCTTCATATCTCTTTGGGGTCTCAGACTCCTGGGAGACTCTGCTGAGAATTTTAGAGCCTGTGACCAGGAAAACACAATCATTTCTACGTGTGTATGCATAAAATTTTAAGATAGAAAAATCCAGATGTCTATACTTAGGGGTGGATTTTTAATAACTTTTATTTTTGACAATATTTATTTCTATAATTTTTTTATTTAGAAGGAGGATGAATTACTTTTTGAGTCCAGGAAGGCAGTAATATCAAATGCATTCCATTTCAGGAGGTTACCAGACCTCCCAAAACCCTTCCCGGGAATGCCAACTTGGCTCATAGACCCAAATTAAGAACCCGTGACCTCAAGGGCTAGACAAACACCCACACAAATAATCCCAAATAAAGCTGATGTGTTAGAGCAGCACTTGGCAAACGTTTCTATAGGGGGCCAGATCATAAATATTTCAGGCTTTCTGGGTCTCTGTTGTAACTATTCAACTCTGTTGTTGTAGCATGAAAACAGCCATAGGCAAAGGAATGAGCATGGCGTGTTCCAATAAAACTTTATTTACAAAACAGGCAGTAAGCCAATTTGCCAGCCCGTGTGTTAGAGGCTCCAATTCCTAGATCCCCAGAATGTCCGACATAGAGGTCAACTCACATGTCCAAGGTCACACAGCTGAGCAGGGTTGATGGCCCCACTCACCAACCAGCCAAGCTTTATGGTGACCCAGGGATTCCTGTTCCCAACTCCTAGAGCTGCTTCCTCCAAAGTCACAGCTTCTGGAGCAGTGGGAGAACGTGAGCAGGGGCCTGGAGAAGCCGAGGAAAGGCCTGGGCGGTGGAAGACCGGTTATCCATCTGGAAGGAGGAATATGTTTGGGTTCCCTTCCTTCAAAGCATTTTGCTGATTCAATGCCAGGTCAGAATTGAGTTTTTGACATCCAGGTTGCATCTTCTCTATCTACACCAAAAGATAAAAATCTACATCTAGTTAGGAATCAAATTAATATGCCCCATGTCTAGCCTCATGCTGATCGCCAGGGAATCAGGGACCAGAAAGGGTTAAGACTTGGCAAGTAGGGGACTTGGGAGGAACCCCAGGAACCATGGGTCCTCAGCCCCTGTGAGTGAGGTGGCCCCTCAGGCTGTGGGGCCTGCCTGGGAGCCGGGCTGCCAGGAGGGACTCCCCTGGGAGGGGAGGCGTGAATTACACCTGGAGAGACAGGTGGTCTCCTTGGCCGGACCCCAAGAACAACATGGTCTGTTGCCTACTGTTTCCTCTTCCGGTCATTTACTTCCGGTTCTCTCTCTTCGTTTTCGCCTTCCTCTTCCCTTACTTTGCACCCCTTGATTCTCTACCACAGGGCAGAAAACCTACCCACCCTTTCACCCTTCTACGCCCACGCCCATAACAGACTTTGCTTATCAGTCCTGGCCGCCTCTCTGATGCCCAGAAAGCCTTTTACCAACAGTTAGAGCTGGAACAAGAGCCAGAACCCATGTGCCACCCTGCTGGCCTCTCTGACCCCCTCTCCCATCTGCTCAGCTCAGTGAGGCCCAGAAAGGTCAAGCCACCTGCAGGGGGGTTGCCCAGTTCCTTGTGGGGGCCACATGGAAGTGGATTTCCCTCTGTGGAGTGACTGGCTCCCACTTTTCCATCTGTGCACATCTTAAGTCCATCAGTGACCAAGCCTGGTCTTGTCCCCTAGTGACCCCAGGCATGAAGATCTACATCGACCCTTTCACCTATGAAGACCCCAATGAGGCGGTGCGGGAGTTTGCCAAGGAAATTGACATCTCCTGTGTCAAGATTGAGCAAGTGATCGGAGCAGGTAGGTGGCTGGTACCCACATAGGTTCCATGGCCTCAACCACAAGTAGACCACCCCAGTGTGTACTCCTGGGACAGAGGGTAGGATGTGGGACAGGGGCCTCCAGGGACCCTTCAAGACCTGAAGGCTCAGAATGCCCAAGGAAGAAGGGCCCCAAAAGGTCACCTCACCAACAGAAGGGGAAACTGAGGCACAGGGGGAAGTGGCTTGCACAGCAAGTCAGAGATTGGTTTGGGTCTGGAGCCTAGTTCTCTGGACTCAGTCCAGTGCTTTTCCTTCTTCCTGCCATTGATCCCAGGGGCCCGTCCCCCTCTCCCCAGGTTCCCCAGACAGATACTGTGGGGCAACCCTGAAGAATTCATTAATACTCTCTACTCCCAAAGGTGGCTGGGGCTTTTCTGGCCCCCACATTCTCAAAGGGGTTCTGTGTCTGCGGGGTGAGTTGACCATTGGGGAGAAAGAGCACCAGCAGGCCCCAGGAATGGAAGTGACAGGGAACAGGTAGGTGGCACTTCCACCTGGCAAGTGACATTCTGCCTCCCTCGGTGTACCTGTCCCAGGGGAGTTTGGTGAGGTCTGCAGCGGCCACCTGAAGCTGCCAGGCAAGAGAGAGATCTTCGTGGCCATCAAGACGCTCAAGTCGGGCTACACCGAGAAGCAGCGCCGGGACTTCCTGAGCGAGGCCTCCATTATGGGCCAGTTCGACCACCCGAACGTCATCCACCTGGAGGGTGTCGTCACCAAGAGCACACCTGTGATGATCATCACTGAGTTCATGGAGAACGGCTCCCTGGACTCCTTCCTCCGGGTAGGGGAAGCCAGGGGCCCATGAGTCAGGGCAGTCCAAAAGGAATTGTGGACATATTTTCATACTGTCAGAGCCTGAACAGGTCTTGGAAAGTGCTGGGTCAGGAATGGTTTACAGGCTGTCACTTTCCATTCCCCTACCCATGGCAGGCATTGCTAATCAATCCTAGCACTCTCTTCCACTAAGCCCAGAAGCAATCTCAGAATGCTTCCCAATATGGTTCCCCAGGAAGCCACACCAGTCAATCAGAGTTGGCACACAACCTGAAATCTGTTTCCATCCACGCCCTTAGCCAGCCTTCTCATTATGCACAGAAGAAAACAGGCTCAAAGAGAGGTAGGATTTGCCCAGGGTCACCTAGAGGATCAAGGTGAGAGCGTAGACTGGAACCAGCTGTCTTGACCCCTCACTGGGAGTTTCTGCCAGATTTTGGACTTCCCCAAAGCTGTGTAGGCTGTGGGGGGAGGAGTTCAGAGCACTAGGCCAACAGAGGAAAGTTCTAAGGCTGCCCCCAGGAAATCACAGTCAACCAGCTAGACAGAGAGCACTGGACTGTCAGAAGCAGGCCACTGGACTGGCTGCCATTCAGTAAAAGTACCTACTGTGTGCCATGTACCTTCTTGTTTAACTCTGAACAGCCATGGGAGGTGCATATTACCCCATTTAACACAGAGATGAGGAAACAGACTCAGAGAGGTTAGGTCTCATGTCCTAGGTCACACAGCCAGGAAGGGGCAGAGACAAAGTCAAACCAGGTGTGTCTTCTTCAAAGCCCGTGTTCTCTCCACCACCCTGATGGTGGCCTCTCCAAGGTGCCCAGGCATCTGAGTCCTTCCCGAAGGGAGCCCAAAGCCAGGTTGGCAGGGTACTGCTCCGGTTCCCCATTGCAAAGATGATCCAGAGCTCTGGTGCCGGCTCTTCCGTTTACTCTGTGTTTTCTCCACTTCTCCCCAAGCAAAACGATGGGCAGTTCACAGTCATCCAGCTGGTGGGCATGCTGCGGGGCATCGCGGCCGGCATGAAGTACCTGGCAGACATGAACTACGTGCACCGCGACCTGGCCGCCCGCAACATCCTCGTCAACAGCAACCTGGTCTGCAAGGTGTCTGACTTCGGGCTCTCACGCTTTCTGGAGGATGATACCTCAGACCCCACTTACACCAGTGCCCTGGTAAGACGGAGGCAAGGACTACAGGAGTCACAGCCCTAGAAAAAAGGACATAAATGTCCATCCATCCCTCCAGTACATTGTCACTGACCCCTGCTTGTGCCAAGCACCATGCTGGGCCCTGGAGACACAGAGAGACATCCTGCCCTCTCGGAGGTCCCAGGCTGGTGGGGAACACGGAAGTACGGGAGTGACGGGGCAATGAGCCAGGGCAGCCAGCCTTGGAGGCAGAAGGCGGCTGGCCAGAGCGGGTGACACCTGAGCCGAGAGCCGAAGGGCCAGTAAAAGTGTCTCAGATGCCGTGTTCTCGGGGCAGGTCCCGTGCCTGGGTTCAAGCTGTAAGGGGGAGGCGGTGAGCACCTGTGCTGGAGAGGTGGGCAGGGCCAGATCTTAGAGGGCCTTGAACGCCCACACTCACTCCTGAAAACAGTTTCGGTTGTTGAAGGGTTTTAAATGGAAAGAAATAAAACACAAAGAGCTGAGAGCCGCTGCTGGGGGGGGGGGGGGGGCTGCAGCCTTGGGGAGCCTGTGGGCTTCTAGATCCTTAAGTGCGGCCTTTTGACTGAATCCAAATTTTAAAGAACAATCCTTTTATTAAAAGGGGTGCGGCAGAGGAAGATGAAGCTTTTCTTGCCCCCTTCAGCACTTAACAAAGAACAATTCTGAAATCAGAAGGCCACAGGTTCCCCACAGGCAATTAGTTTCAGAGCTGTGCCGTATGAGACAAGCCTTGATGGGGAGACATGAGGCGCAGATGTGGGAGTAAGGAGAGTGAAGAACTCTTTGGGAGCTAGGGAAAGGCTTTAGGCATGAGGAGGAGGTTTCCAGATGGTGGAGTGGGAAGAGGCACTTTATTTGGAGGGCACAGCATGTGCAAATGCCCAGTGGTCCGAAGCAGCACAGTGAGTCTGGAGAACAATAACGTGCATCATGAGATTGCTGCAGCACAGGGCACAGAGAGGGTAGTATTGAGAGAAGAGGTCAGGCAGGTCAGCCTCCTACCCATAAACCCTCCCCTCTTCCCCCCAGGGGGGGAAGATCCCCATCCGTTGGACAGCCCCAGAAGCCATCCAGTACCGGAAGTTCACCTCGGCCAGCGACGTGTGGAGCTACGGCATCGTCATGTGGGAGGTGATGTCCTACGGAGAGCGGCCCTACTGGGACATGACCAACCAGGACGTAAGTCTCCGAGGGGGTGAGCCAGCCAGCTGGGGGAGGGGAAGAGGGGGACTCCTGGCCTTGTGCCAGTCTCCCAGGACGAGGGACATAGGCCTCTGAGATCGAGAGCCTGGCTGCCAGGGCAGCTTTCAGCACGACGGTGGCTGATTCAAATGTCTGCACAGGACCCCGGACTCTCCTCTCCCAAGGGAAGGGAGTAGGAAAGGCCACCTGCCCACAAATCAGCAAATCTCCAGGATGCATGGACCTTGTGGCCAGCCCTAAATGAGACCGTGTCAACTCAGGTGTTTGCCACCTAATGGAGGGGACAAGACAACTATTCAGGGAACCAGATATAGTTATCAGGACCTTTTATGATCAGGTGCTAAGTTGGAGAAGGCAGAGGTCTAGCTGTAGGCATCGAGGCATGAGCAGCCAGGAAGTGTCCGCAGAACAAGTGGGGCTGAAATGGCAGAAGGACTTGGAGAGGTGAGGGCTTCCAGTCGGAAAGAACAGGCTGGGCAAAGGCTGTGCCCGGAGGTGAGATAATGAGGGGTCATGTTGAGAGTGTTTCAAAGTCAACCCGAGGGATTTCCATTAGCAAAACACAGACAGAAAGGACTAGAAGAAGCTTCTTGAACAGGGAGGGTGACCCACAGTCGAGGCATGGAGGATGAATCTGAATCTGGCCATGGTGGCAGGACAGGTTAGAGAGGCATGTCCAAGCTCCTGTCCGACAGAGGAACAGGTGGGGGTCGTGGGAAGGGGCCGTGGCGCCTGACAGGGGAGGTACCTCTTACCTGGAGCTGTAAATGGCACTGAAATGGAGAATGTGATCACCTGGGGTCAAGCAGGGGGCCAGAGAGGGGAGTCCTCAGGGCCATCAAAGCCAGGAGGGGCTCACAGATGGGAAAGGGGAAGGGCTGGTGGAGCCAGGTACAGGAGGGTCAGCCTGGTGGACCCTGGGCAGAGGCTACCTCAGGGTGCTAGATTTCCCTAGACTAGCAGAGGGTGGGGCAGAAACCCAGCAGCCAGGCCAGACTGAGGCTATAGATGGTAGAAACCCAGGTCCGGGTCATCCCCATGGCTGCGTCCAGGAAGTGCTGGTGGTTACCACGGCAACCAAATAGGTCAGGCACGCAATGCACTGGGGGCAAGAGGGGCCTGGCAGAGGGCAGATGCCCTCAGCCCATCCACTCAGCCCCACTCCGCCCCTACACTGTCCCCAGGTAATCAACGCCATCGAGCAGGACTATCGGCTGCCGCCGCCCATGGACTGCCCGAGCGCCCTGCACCAGCTCATGCTGGACTGCTGGCAGAAGGACCGCAACCACCGGCCCAAGTTCGGCCAGATAGTCAACACGCTGGACAAGATGATCCGCAACCCCAACAGCCTCAAAGCCATGGCGCCCCTCTCCTCTGGGTACGGCCCCGGCCCTCCTACCTGTCGGCTCCGCCCAAGCCCCGCCCCTCTCCTCCATATAGGCCCCGCCCCGGATTCGCCCCTCCCTTCAATGTAGGCCCCGCCCCGCCCCTCTGGGTACGGCCCCGCCCCTCCGAGCTGTAGGCCCCGCCCCGGCCCCGCCCCTCCCGTCCGGGTCAGCGCCTGCCCCGCCCCTCTCCTTCCGCTACCCGGCTCCTCCCAGCCGGCCCTTCCCCTTTCCCGCCAGGGCTGTCCCTGCTTCAGGCAGATGCTCTTCTCCCCTGCAGCCTGGGAAGGGGACGGACAGGACTAGTGCTGGCTGGGCATCTGCCTTGCCTTGGGGGTGCAGGGGAGCGCAGGACACAGACTGTCCTGAGGAGAAGGACACACACCCTGCGGGGGGTAGAGAAAGCACCTTTTAAAGCAAGGTCAGAGAGGACAGCAGTTAAGAAATATTACCAAAGGATCCAGAGTCTCAGCTGGTGAATAGATTTACTCCCTAGCTACCCTCACGCTCAAGCCTGGACCCTCTAACTTCCATTTCCATCCTCATCTCACACACACACACACACACACACTTGCACAAATACAGTCCTACACACACAGCTGAACACAGTTCAGCACAAGCGCTCATGCTTGCTCACACACACTCTCACACACAGATACACATACAGTCTCCGGCTCTCACACGTACACACATCCACAGGCACCTGCACACACAGCCCCATGCAGAAGTTAGTACCCAACATACACCTGTATGTGCCCCCACATTGGGTCAGCACCCCATGCCCAAGAGACAGGCTCAGCCTGAGGGGTGTCAGCTCAGGTACCCCCGTGCTTCCCTTCTCCCCGAGGCCCCAGGACATCTCCTCCAGGCTGCAGCTCACCACTGCCTCCCTTGGGGGGCTGTCACAGGTCACACTGCTGGCACTGCACACGCTCACTCTCCAGGACCCACAATCCCACGGGGTTTTGAGGGCCATCCAGCCAGGTGACCTCAGGATCTAGGGCCAGCTGTGACCAGAGACTCCATGGGCCAAAGTCCTTCCTCCACCAAGTTCTTGTGGCCAAGACATCCTCATGCTGGCCTCTGCCTGTCACTCCTCACTGTGACCCTGCGTCAGCCACTCCTAAGTCTCTGGATAAAGCCACTCGGGGCTTTTAACCTCGTGAGAGTCATTTCACTACTTGCCAGCTAGGAAGTCATTCCCACAGCACCACCAGCCTGAGCTGGACTTTGGAGACGCCATCCCCAGGATCAGCCTCCTATAGCACAAACCGGAGCAGAGAAGGACGGAGAACGGCACTAGGGGAGGAAACAATGAATAATTAGTGCAGTTAGTCCAGCTGAGATCCCTCCTCCTGAAAATAAGAAACATGACAAGTGTCTTCCCCTCCTGGCTCCTGCAGGCCTGCCTCTCACCAACCCCTGCAGGGCCTTCCCTAGACTTCCTGGGCGGCCCCAGCCGTGATACCTGCACACACACCCACTCTCGCACACTCACACACATAGGCGTGCACGTCCACACAGGCTCAGACTCATGCCCGCACTCAGGCAGAGTGCACGTGCACGCACAGCCCACAGGCGTGTCCATGCACATACTTAACCCGCATACTTCCTGCAAGCATGTGCCCTGACCATCTCCGTCACCCCCTCCCTGACCCCCACCAGCATTAACCTGCCGCTGCTGGACCGCACGATCCCCGACTATACCAGCTTTAACACGGTGGACGAGTGGCTGGAGGCCATAAAGATGGGGCAGTACAAGGAGAGCTTCGCCAACGCCGGCTTCACCTCCTTCGACGTCGTGTCTCAGATGATGATGGAGTAAGTCCCCCCCCTCACCCCGCAGGCCAAGGGGCAGGTGCTCTGGAAGGCGAGAGATAGACAGTGTCCCAGTGGGGATGTAGGGGACCAAGGGGCAAGACGGGCAACTTTGGAGTCACATCCAGACTGACACCCAGGTCTGCCTGCCACCTGCTGGCCGTGTGACCTTGAGCAAATGAACCTCAGCTTTCTCATCTGCAAACTGGGGGTTAGCAGGAAGGTCGAAGGAGCTTTAAAGGAAGTGGGTACCTTAGTAAATGCAAGTTGCCTTCCCCTTCCCCATAGCAGGGAAGAGAAAGGCATCTCAGTGCCCTGACTCCCAGTAAAGTGCTCTCCACCTCACCATAGCCACTCACTCCAGCTTTGGCCGCCCACCCACTCCCCCTCCCTGCACTACCTTCAGCGTGAACCCCCTGGGGAAGCCCATGCAGCTCTCGACCAGGCAGAGAGCCCCCCTGACCCCCGCATTTCTCTAACACACGTGCTTCTCTCCCAAAGGGACATTCTCCGGGTTGGGGTCACTTTGGCTGGCCACCAGAAAAAAATCCTGAACAGTATCCAGGTGATGCGGGCACAGATGAACCAGATTCAGTCTGTGGAGGTTTGACACTCACCTGCCTCGGCTCACCTCTTCCTCCAGGCCCCGCCCCCTCCGCCCCCACGCCGGCCCTCCTGGTGCTCGTCCACCGCAGGGTCAGCCGCCCGCCAGGAGGCCACGGGCAGCAGGGAGAGCCAAGCAGCGCTCCAGCCACGAGACGTCACCAAGAACACATGCAACTCAAACGACGGAAAAAAGGGAATTGGGGAAAAAGAAACTCGATCCTGGGAGGGGGTGGGAACACAAGGAATAATTTTTCAAGAGGGTTCTCATGAGGAAAGCGATGACCGTTCTTGGGGGGAAAAGAAAGGGCTTGGGAGATTCCTGCGCATTCGTCCACTCAGAGACCGAAAGCAGTTTCTCTCCAACTCCCTCTGGGAAGGTGACCTGGCTAGAGCCAAGAAACACTTTCAGGAAGACAAATGTGAAGGGGAGAGACGGGGCCGCCCTTCTCTCCTGTCCCTGGCTGCTCCTCTGGGCCTCGATCCACGGCCAGCGCCAGGCGGACCCGGAGGGCGGATAGGCAGCCCCGGGAACCCCTCTGGGGAAATCCATTCCTGCTGCCACTGGGCAAACAGAAGCATCTTTCTGTCTTTGGAGACTATTTTAGAAACTCCGATGAAAGAGACCGTTTCTCCTGTCGCCTCATGGGGATGAAAAGGGGCTTTTGTCCTCCCGGTCAGGGAGAACACGGGGACACCAGGAAGGCCAGCCTCCCTGAGGATGGCCCCTGGGTCCGCAGCTCCACGTACATATCACGCGCACAGCCCGGCGGCCCCAACCCGCCCGGCGCCCGCTCCGCCAGCCCCACCTCGAGGGCTGATGCTGCAGGGACTGCCGTCAGCTACGACTGCCACTGAGAAGGGTTGATCCTGCATCTGGGTTTGTTTACAGCGATTCGAGAACTCGGGGTATTTTGATCAGGGGTGGTTTCGGTTTGGGGGGGTTTGTTTGTTGGGTTTTTTTTTTATGACAATGAAGTGACACTTTGACATTTCCTACCTTTTGAGGACTTGATCCTTCTCCAGGAAGAAGGTGCTTTCTGCTTATTGACTTAGGCAATACACCAAGGGCGAGATTTTATATGCACATTTCTGGATTTTTTATATGGTTTTCATTGACACCCTTCCCTCCTCCCACCTGCCACCAGGCCTCACCAAAGCCAACTGCCACGGGGCCATCTGGGCCCTTCAGAGACTTGAGTGAGATTTGGGTGGGCAGGGGGAGGTGCATCCCACTCCAGGACTGTTTGTGAAAGTGACAGATTGTGGAGGAAGTGGGCCCTGAGGCTGCAGGGCTGGAAGTCCTCGCCCACTTCCCCACTCTCCTGCCCCGATCTATCTAGTACTTCCCAGGCAAATAGGCCCTTTTGGGGTTCCTGCGTGCCCTCAGATGGCCAAACCCCAGTTCTGCCTCTGGGAGCCTAACCCAGGCCGCACTGGAGGCCAGGACCCGGATCATTCACTGTGATATCCCAGCCCTGCAGAAGGTGCCCCGGAGACGTGGGCAGGCATGCTCCTTCCTTCCCCGGGGAGAAAGCGTGTGATTTCTCTCCTGCCTCCTTCCCTCCACCAGAACTTCGCCAGGTCTGAAGGTCTTGGCCATGGGGAAACCATCCGCCAAGAGGTCTGGCCTCAGACCCCCTCCTGTGAGCAAACGCAGGCACCTGAGCAGAACAATCGGTTAGTGAATTGAATGGAAATAAACGCTTTAGTTATAAAACAACCCTGTTCTCTGTAAGTTCCAAGAGAGACCCTGGCACCCTTGGGACGTGCCGAGTGACCTGTAACACTCTTCCATGTGACCCTTCCTCCCTCAGGATTCTAGAAGGCTCAGGGCACATGGAGGACGACAGCTCCATGTGGCCTTCCCGGCTCTGGCTTGTCGAAAGCACAGGCAACGAGAGAAGCAAATCGGAAGTCAGACGTGGCTCAGAACTCGGCGGCAGATGCCCTGGGACTCAGGGTGAGCCACTGCCGGTACCTCAGGAGCAGGGAGTCCCAGGGGTGCACTCAGCACACCGGGGCCAGAGGAAGGGGGTCCCCAAGCCAGGTGAGCAGTGATGGCGGGTGTGAGGACCCGGGGTGCAGTGCCCAGCGGTCTCCAGTGGGAGCACAGGTCTGATGGCCTCTTCCAGGCCAGCTCTGATTGCCCCGTGCAGACGGCTCCTGCTCGCACGGGAAATCAGAACCCTCCGTGCGGCAGGAGCAGGCGGGTGCTGTGGATATCAAGTCTGGCTGAGGACGGGGACCCGGGGCGCCGCCCCTCGGGATCCTTCCCTTTGTCCACGGAGCCTCTTTGAGGACACTGACCAGTGAGAAAGGTTCAGGCTGCAGGCAGCCAGCTAGCGGCACCACGGTCCGGGCGAGCGTCCTGCAGGGACCAGCCTGTCATCTGTCGCTCACCTGCTCTGAGAGGCAGAGGGAAGGAAGGGATTAGAGAGGGGCCGCCCCCCCCCCGGGGGACAGCAGGAGCCACAGGGAAAGCATTGGCAGGCTTCCCACTAACTGGCCGGCAGTGGCCCACTGGCCATCACTGTGTGCCCCAAGGTGCCCAGCGAGGGTGGCAGCTGTCCCGGCACACAAGGTCACCTTCTGGCAGGAGCCGCCCTGATGCTCTTTAGATTAGCTCTGTCTCCCCAGCCCGCCCCCCCATGCTCCGGCCCCCCACCAGGCTGGCAGTCAGCGCTTCCTGTCAGATGGCTTCCTGCTCTAAGCCGCTAGGCTGGTGTCCTCCAGCCTGCACGCCTGCCTGTCCTCCACCCTCCAGGGCCTGGGGTCCTCAGTGGCCCTGGGCCCGCACCTGCCTGCTTCCCAGAGCACGGTGCTGCCCAGACCTCTGTGCCTCCACTTCAGGGCAACAGACAGACGTCACTGTGACTGTCCCAGGGGTACAGGTGCTGCTCACATCCCCCCTCCCCACCCCCATTTCTGCTGCCGGGACAGCACCCCCCACCCCAACCTCTCGCCTGCTGCTCGGCGGGGAGTGGCAGGCCATGCTGCCAAGCGCCTTCCACTTACGCCACCCGCTCGCCCGGGCACACAGCTCTGAGCCGCCGCTGCCTGGTTACTAATCCTTTCCTGGCTCGACCTCCCCAAGTGCCAGCCCCCACCTGCCCAGCAGCGTCGGAGGCGTTTCCGGCTGCGCTGCCCACAGTCGGGGCTGGGGGGAGAAAGCTGTCTTGTGAGCCAGGCCAGGGTGTCGTGGAAATGGGGACCAGCTGCTCGGGGAGGGTGTGACTGGCAGAGCTGGGCAGTGCCAGGCTGGGTGCGAGGGAACCAGGCCACCCGCCCACGGCCCTGCTGCTCCAGAAGCCCCCAAAATTGGCCACTACTGATGATCAGCAGGCCTCTCCCTGGGGTGACGTTTGAAATCCCCATCAACTGGGCAGACCAGTCAGGGTAGGTGATGGCCTTGGTGCTGCGCCAAAGGCCTCAGAGCAGGGGCTAGAGTGGGGGTGGGCAGTGGGGGACACTTAAGGGACTCGGGGCAGTGGCTGTTTACTAACCGGTGATGCTTCTTGCTCAGATAGCATCAGCCGGACTTTCCCCATCATTTCCAGCTGGTCCCCACCCTGCCACCATCCTGGGGCCTCTCTGCCACCCCCGTTGGACAGGCCCTCATCTCTCGCCACTCTCCAATCAGGCTCATCTTTGGGAGGCTGGGAGCCCCCCCCTTCCTCATGCCTGGCTGAGGAAGGCCCCTGGCCCCAGACCACCCACCTGCCCCAGCGCTGGGCCCTGGGCTTCTGGTGGCTCTTTCCACGGCCCCTGTAGTTCCACTATGGTACCAAAGGCTGGAAGACTCTTACCAGGGAGAATATTGTGAATGCATTCAAAGGACAGGATGCCACATGATACTAGGGAAATCCTGACCCCAGGGTGGCAGCCTTCTCCTGTCACTAGAAATTTGGATCTGGGGAGACATGTCCCCTCACTGAGCCTCAGGTCCCCATCTGTAAAATGACAGTGCTGGAGTGGGTGAGCCCAGCTGTGCAGAACACTTTATACACTCGGTCCTGTGTGGAAGGACTATTCCCCCCGTACGTAGGGGGAAACTGAGGCCCTGGGGGTGAAGTAGTTTGCTCGGCCAGGAAGGAACAGAGCAGGCCCATGAGCTTTGGTTTATCTGCTTCTGACGCCCACCCTGCCACACTCAGTTAGAGGACGGCAAGCACGTGGTGTCCTAGGCTGCCCAGCAAGAGAAGGGAAAGTGCAAACGGGCTGCGGCTGTCAGGAGGGCAGCGTGGAGGCGGCTGTCTTGAAAATAACAAAGGCAGAGAGAAAGGTCATTCCAAGAGGCAGCAGCCAGAAAGGTCCAACACCGTGAGCAGTTGTGTCTGGATGGGCCAGAGGAACAGGGGAAGTGGGGGCTGACATAAGCGGAAGTTGAGGCAGTTTGGACGTGATGTGCAGTCCAGCCACGGCAGGTTCTTGAGCAGAAGAGTAGCAGAGTGAGTATCAGGTTCTGGGGGAAGGAGTCAGTTCCGCCATCAGATGGGGCAGGACACCGCCCTGCTACCCCCCCCCCCCGGAAGGTAGAGCCCCTGGAGCAGCCCTCACTTATTCCAGGGAATCCAGGCCCTGCTGCTTCCTGTCCCATCCTCACCGGTCACCGGCCCAGATAATCCAAGCAGTCACTCCAGCTGCTTAGAACAGCAGGGACTGATTTGTGCTACCTGATTCTTAATTCAGCTGATGTCCAGCCCCATTTCCTCCAGGCTCTCAGTGGCGGCTGAGGTGGGGCGAGAGCTGCTAGGCACCCAGAGAGCTGAGCTGGGGGCTGCATAGGTGGGCATGAAAAACCGCTCATCTCTGCCCCAGTCTCCCCAGCCCTGGAGAGATCACCCAGACGTGCTCGAAGGGGTCTGGGGTCCTGTCTCTTCCCATAGCGTGTTATCCTGGGGAAACCCAGCAGGAGGTTTAGGGAGCCCCACTGCGCTGTGTGATGCTACGCATGTGTCCCGTGGCCACCAGCCTTACCCAGCCTCCGGCAAAATGGCTCCTGCCATAAAACTTAAGGCGGAAAATGGCCTTGAAGCTGCCCAGTTTCCCCTGCAGGGAAACCAAGGCCAGAGTGTTGGTCGCAGGAGAAAACGTGGCCTTTGCCACCTAACGGGAAGAGAGTGGGCTCAGGGCGCATCCCATGGGAGGCTGGTCTCAGGAGGTTGGAGTCACAGGGATTGCAGTAACGGCCAAACACCATATGCCAGCTGCCAAAGTATCATCCTCCCCACCTCGCTAGTGAGGGAACTGATTCCCAGCGGTGATTTCTGGAGGATTCCAACCAGGCCATTGCCTGCGGCCCTCCTTCCTTCGCACCTCCCGAGATTTCTCGGAGTCTGTGCCATTGCCCACCTGTGTCCGAGTCTCCTGGGCTATGTATTGCTTAACTCGTAGATTCCCAGGCTCCACCCCGGCCCCCACACCAGAATCCCTGAGGTCGGGCCCAGGAGTCTCCGTTTCTGACAGACTCCTCCAGGAAACTCCCCACTCAGCTCCCCCATGACAGGCGGCCCCAATGTCTGCAGAGACAGGGGCTAGAGGAGACAGGGATTAGGAGAAAGCAGGACATCGCCAGATAAGATGCCCAAACTCAGACACGGATTAGGACGCGTGAAGTGGGGGCCGGGGCTGACCCTCAGGAATGTGCTCAGACTGACTCAGACATTAAGCTTTCAGGAAAATGAGAAAGACCCCCAGACCCAGAGTCTGTCTAAGTTTAGCTTCGCAGCATGAAGGCTGCCTCCGGAAAGCTGATATAAGAAGGAGCAGGAACTCAATACTTCAGAGGGGCCCAGCAGCCCACCCAAGGCCACCCTCTGGAGACCCCACGGACCCCAGGACTGTGGCCCCGCCCTGCTCCCTGAACACCTGGCCAGGTGGGCCAGGCACAGGCAGAGGCTGGGGGGGGGCTTCTAGCCGGACAGGGAGCTACAGAGCCCCCCTGCCCCCCCGCCCTGCTACCCAGACTAAGACACAGCTTTCCCTGGAAGAGGCAGCGGGAGGGAAGGCCCCCGTCTCTGCTCAGGATCTAACAGCCCCTGTTGGAGGGGGAGGCGCTCAGCGTTGGCAGGGGAGCAGAAGGAGGAGGGAGGGAGGTCAGGAAACATCTTAGAGGAGGTCAGAGCCAGGACCACTCTGGGGGCCCCACGGAGACTGCAAGAGCCAAGAATTCTAACATTCCAAGATTCTAAGATTGCAAAGCCCCATAATTCTAAGATCCAAGTGGGAGGATTCCATGTTTTGAAGACGCCATCCCTATATGAATCTATGCTGCTAGTTCTTGAAATTTCAAGTCCCATTTTTTGTCACTGGTCCCCAAACCTGAGGACTCTAGCATTTAAAAAAGCACAAAGAGAGAGCAAGAAAGAGAGAAAGAGATGGAGAGGGAGCAGCTAAAAATACTAAGAACAGCTCCGTCCTTCCAATCTGCGTTACAGATGGACCTTGGCAAGAGCCAAAGACCCTCCTTTTCAGTGCAGAATTTTTCTCCCTGTAGAGTATCAGAATTGCGTGCTCAGGCCTTCCAGGGGGCGAGGAGTGGGGTCTGGCCGCTCCAAGCTGCCACTGAGCAAAAAGCCGGATGCCGGCCATGGCGCCCACTGGCTGGTGGGCACTGACAGCTCTGCTGGGGCCCCAAGCAGGGCCTGCCCCCTCGGCTCAGTTTGGGGAGGGACTCGTCTCCCCTCCCCCAGAGAGGAAGCTGCAGGACCAGGAGTTTGCCTTGGGAGACCCAGCTGAGGACTGTTCCCCAAGGAGACCACCTTCCTGTCCCGAGCCACCGTCTTAACACTGGACAAGCGTAGGGTCTTCTGCAGACCCCAGATCCAGGTGCCTTCCCTCTGACACTCGGGACGCAGCGTGCATGGCTGCACTGCCCCTGTCCCTCTCCAAGGACCCCCTCGCCCTTTCCAGCTTTAGCCACTGCTCCCTGGGGCTGGGAGGCCGGCTGAGGAGGTCTGTGGGTCACTCAGCAGTCAGCCTGGCCGCTGTCCCCCTGTGGACAGCGACTCTGACGGTGGGGGTGCCAAGTCGAGCCTCTGAGGCTGACCCGGGGCAGGCCTGGCAGGGACATTCACTCAAAACCAGCCTCTTTGGACTCCGGAGCAAAGAGCAATTGGTCACGCCCAGCCCCAGGTCATAATCATAGCTGCTATTTCTCGAGTGCCAACAATGTGCCAGGCACCGTGCTCACCTTTTTTATATGAAGTGTCTTGCTTAATCCTCACACCACTCTGTGGGACAGGTACAGTGGTCAGTCCCATTCCACAGACTAGGAAACTCAGAGACGTGACGTGGTGGCTGTCCCAGGCCACACAGCACCCCCCTCTTAATCACTATGCTATGCTGCTACCAGTGGTCCCCACTCAGCCCCCGCTACTGCCAGATCCTTTGCCAGTCAAATCCCAGACCCCCGCGCAGCGCTCTGACACCCTCTCTGAGCATGCCCCCCCCCCGGAGCTGCTGTCAGAGCCACCGTTGGTGGGGGCGAGCGCTAGACCCCCCTCTTGAGGCAGCCACTCAGCCCAAGCTGTGTGGGATGGAGCTCTCAGCCAGGGGGTTTCATAGAACCCTGTTTCCTCTGCTCATACACTTGGGTTTCCCTGCCAATGTTGGGGGGTCAGGGAGCGACGCACTGGGGTTCGATGGCCGTGGGTCAAACCCAGCTCCTCTGGACCCCCCACTGCTGTGACCAAGGAAATCTCACCAGCTGTGTCCAAGATCAACCTGACCCTGTTACTCCAATGCCTTTGTAGGAGTATTTTTAGCAGATTTTTTTTTCCAAAATAAATGTGAATTGTAAAAATTATCATTGGGTTCAGTGGTTTTTTTCTCTCTGAGGTTCCCCAGAGAACACATGGGAGCTCCCAGAGGCCCTGAGCAGAGTTTTGAAGCATGGCCAGGAGTTTTCCGGGGCTAAGAATGGAGCCAGGGCCAGAGCTGAGGTTGGGGTTGGGGCTGGCGTGGGGACTTGGCCAGTGCCAGGGTGGGGTGTTGAAGTCTAGCAACTGCTCCTAAGTGTCCTAAGAACCTCAGTCGTGTTTAAGAGTCTGAGCTCTGCTGTCAAGGGTTCTGGGGTTCGTATCCCAACTCTGCCACTGGAGTGGTCACCTAACTGTTCTAAGCCTCATCTGCACGTCTGTAAAACAGGGGCGATAACGTCAGACTCCTGGAGTATGGGCGAGGGGTGAAGGAGATGAAGTCGTGAAGGGCTCAGCACTCGGAGGTTAGCGCTGTTCTTGTGCTGGGCAGGAAGCCCGCGATGGCAGGTCCCTGTCTGTCACACACTCCGCTGTGTTCTCCACAACCCGACGACGCCTGACTCATGCTAGACACTCAGTAAGTGTTTGCCAAATAGACGTCGAGGACATTTGGGAAGGGTCCCGCGGTCAAATACCTTTGGCAAACTCCGGAGTAAGGCAAGTGAACCAGATTTCTTTATTTCAGGACATCGCGGAGCTTTAACTACACTAATGGTGCACCGTGAGTGCCTAAACCGGTGCTAGTATTTGCGAGCTTCCCCTTCAGGGGGAGCAGTTCATGGGACCGGTGTCCCCGGGAACGTGCTTGGGTAACGCTCCGGTGGTTAGAGGCAGAGCTGAGGCTGGGGTTGAAGTTGGGCCTGGAAGGCACGATGGCCTGGAGGCCAGAGGAGGATGGGGTCCTGGAGGCTGTCCTCTGATCTGCTCACTCACTCATTATTCATTCAAAAAGTCCTTACTGAACTCGTACTACATGAAAGGCGCTGCATTAGGTGCCATGGGGGAACGGAAATGACTCCTGCCCTTGAGAAGTTATCAGGGCATTTGGGACACTTCACTGCCCGTGAATCGGCACCCACGGTGCGCCAGACGCTAGGCTGGTACTAGGAATGCTGCAGTGAATCGGACGCGTGCCTGCCCTCGTGGAAGTCCTCAGTCAGTGGAAGGTATCGGGTCGTTACAACTCCGGGTAACGTGTGCAAGCTGAAAGTGCCTATAGCTTCCAGCAAGGGTGCAATGAACCCGGAATGGGGGCTGAGCAAGGTTCCAAAGCATGACTAAGAGTTTTCCAGGAAGCTAAGAATGGAGACTGTATTCCAAGTAGGGGAAACAGCCAATACAAAGGTATGAAATCAAACACTGATATAATACCTTTTGGAATTACAATGTGCTATGGTCTGAACGTCCCTCCAAAGTCACGTGTTGAGGCCGGGCGCGGTGGCTCACGCCTGTAATCCTAGCACTCTGGGAGGCCGAGGCAGGCGATTGCTTGAGGTCAGGAGTTCACAACCAGCCTGAGCAAGAGTGAGACCCCGTCTCTACTATAAATAGAAAGAAATTAATTGGTCAACTAATATATATAGAAAAAATCAGCCAAGCATGGTGGCGCATGCCTGTAGTCCCAGCTACTCTGGAGGCTGAGGCAGGAGGATCACCTGAGCCCAGGAGTTTGAGGTTGCTGTGAGCTAGGCTGACGCCACGGCACTCACTCTAGCCTGGACAACAAAGTGAGACTCTGTCTCAAAACAAACAAACAAAGTCACGTGTTGAGCCTTGACCAGCAACATGATAGCATGTAGAGGCGGGGCCTTTAGGAGGGGATGGGCCATGAGGGCGGAGTCCTGGCAGGTGGGATGGAGACCTCTTGTGAAAGGGCTTCACGCCGCAGTCAGCTGGCTGGCACTTTGGCTCCTCCACCACGAGAGGACACAGCATTTGTCCCCGTTGCCCTTCCGTCCCTTCTGCCACTCGAGGTCACCTAGACGTTGCCATGTGGGAGGGACAGGCCTTCCCCAGTCCCCAAACCTGCTGGTGCTTCAACCTTGGACTTCCCAGCCTCCAGAACTGTGAGAAATAAATTTCTGTTCTTTATTACAAGTTACCCAGGCTCGGGTATTTTATCACAGCAGCAGGAACGGACTAAGACACTGCGTAATACCAATGCGCACATGGCTACCGCATTAAAGACAATACATGACCCACCCCACAGCAGTTTGTAAAGCAGCCTGGCAAGGCCACCAGATCTCATGGAGCGCCGAGTCCAGGAGAGCCTGCAGCCAGGCCGACTGGGCCAGGCACCCGGCCCGGTCAGCCCAGCTTGCCAGCTCCAGGCCTTCTTAGCTGTCCTGGGGCCTCAGACCCACCACCAGAAATGACTTGGGTCTCCTGGCCTGGTTCCTCTGAGAAGTCTGGATCCCCTCGCTGGCTCCACCTGCCCCAGCCCCAGGCCCAGGCCCAAACTGGGCTTTCCCGAGACTCTCCTGCCCACTCTGAGACCCAGGACAACCTCAGGGGGCTCTGCTCTCAGCTCAGGGACACTGACCCAGGTCCCCCAGCTCCCAGCTCCCTCACCGAACCCTACTGGCTCCTCCCTGCCTTCTTCTCACTCTGCTTTCGCACTAGGGGGACAGCTGAGACCAGCCTCTGCCCCTCCTGGCTCCATATGGGCTCAGTCATTTCTCGGGGACAGGGTGTTAGCCCTGCTGCAAAAGATGCCGTCAAGGAGAAAAAGAGAACAAGGGAGGGGCTTTCCCCATAGTCTCTCGCTGGGTTGGTGACAGT